CTCGTCTACTTCACCCACCAACACTAGTGCCTCGTCCGCTACTGATTTGCCCAGCTCTCCTGCTTCCGCCACACCTGTCCCTCCACCACATGTCCCACGTCGTTCTGACCGCTCCACAAAAGGCATACCTCCGGTACGTTATAATGACTTTGTGGCCCATGGTGTTAATTCTCTTCTTGTGCCGACCCGGTATAAGGATGCTCAAGGGGATCCAGTGTGGGAGGAGGCGATGGGATGTGAATTTGATGCTCTTCATGCTTACGACACCTGGGATGTGGTTGATCATCCGGCTCCTGATACTCCTAAGATTGGAAGTAGGTGGGTATACACAATTAAGATGAATCCTGATGGATCGATTGAACGACATCGCGCTCGAGTTGTAGCTTTGGGATATACACAGGAGCACGGGGTGGATTATAATGAAACTTTTGCTCCTGTGGCACGTATGTCTACTGTGCGAAATCTTGTTGATGTTGCCTCGATAACTGGACTCTAGCTCAGCTTGATGTAAAGAATGCATTCCTCCATGGTGATCTGGATGAGGTTATCTACATGGAACGACCTCCGCCTTATCATATTGGGACTCCTAGACAGGTATGCAGACTAAAACGATCTCTGTATGGTCTAAAGCAGGCACCTTGTGCTTGGTTCCATAAATTCCAGTCAACTCTAGTGGGGCTTGGGTACAGCCAATGCTCTTTATAAAGACAACTTCACAGGGAATTGTGCTGCTTCTGCTTTATGTAGACGATATGATTATCACAGGATCAGATATCGATGGGATTCATAGTTTGAAAGCAGGAATACAGGTTGCCTTTCGGATCAAGGATTTGGGAGAATTATCTTACTTTCTGGGACTGGAGGTTTCTCGTACTAAGGCATGAATATTTCTTGGTCAAAGGAAGTATATTTGCGATGTATTGAGTGACAATAATATGGAAGATAGCCAGCCTGTAAATACTCCGATGGAATTTAATCTTAAATTTAGTCGGGACTCGGGAGCGAGGGTGAAAGACAGTTCCCATTATCGGAGTATAGTTGGGAGTCTAATTTACTTATCAGCTACTCGGCCTGACATTTCTTATGCAGTGCAGTTGGTTAGTCAATTTATGGCAGATCCTCGCGCATATCATTTGGCTGCAGTATACTGTATACTTAGATACTTGTAGGGGACAAAAGAGATGGGCATTTTATTTCCTTCTTCTGGTGCAACTACTCTACGAGCCAACTCAGACTTTGATTATGCAGGTTGTATTGATACCCGACGATCCACCACTGGATGGTGTGTTCAATTTGGGAACTCCTTTATATCATGGTGTTGTAAGAAACAGGACAAGGTTTCCAAATCCTCTACTGAAGCTGAATACAGGGCGATGTCTGATGTTGCTTCTGAGATGACATGATTACGACGTCTACTGGCTGATATGGGAGTGGAGTGTCCTAGTCCCATGGATCTGTATGTGGATAATACTAGCGCTATTCGGATTGTGGAGAACCCAGTGCTGCATGATCTTACTAAGCACATCGAGATACATGTGCATTATGTTCGAGATGAAGTCCGGGATGGGGCGATTGCACTACACTACATACGCACTGACGATCAGGTTGCAGATTTGCTCACGAGAACATTTTCAACAGGACGACATCGTTTTCTATCTAGCAAATTGATGCTCGTTGACCGGCATCAATTTGGGGGAGGTTGTTGATTATGTAATCCGGTTATAATTGTATTTAGTGTAGTGTGTTAGTGTCGTGGCCCAATGGTTGAGTGAGTAGTGTTAAAGCCCATGCAAACCCATGTCAGCCCACGTTGTAAATTGGGAGAAGACGTGCGCTAGGGTTCGGCTGTTCAGGGTTGTATTTGTAGTGCAGTAATATTTCTGTATAGGTTTAACAAACACAATCAGTAAGATCAGTAACCGAAGAGTGTTCAAGCTCTTCTGTGGATTAGTCCTGGGATTCCAGGGATACTACGTAAATCTGTGTCTGATTTCCATTTCCGTTATTGTTTTCATCTGGTCTGTTAACACTATCACCATCGTCGTCTCAAGTCCCTTGACTCAAGTGATAGTGGAAGGTGATTCCGATGTGGTTGTCAAACAGATCCGACAAGGTGTCCTAAAAGGTTCCTTTGGAGGTTCGGTTAGGGATGACAATTTGGATCCGCCCCACCGGATTATATTTGACTTGACCCGTGATGGGGCGGGGCATGGGTATCTACTTCCGACCCGCCCTGTCATGTTCTTGAGCCATTATGTCTCAATTTCTTCTCGTATATATTCACGTTTTTTCTATTTTGACTTTTCTTCAACTAGTTACACTTGATTTTTCAACTAGTTTTACTCAATTACCCATTCAGGTATCACTATTTTTCATTCATAAAGTGTTTTTCCCTTCGTTTTATCGGAAAAGTAGAATTTTGTATGTATTTTTTCAAATAACATATAAAAATGGGTCGAGCTTACCCATTCAAGTATCACTATTTTTCATTCATAAAGTGTTTTTCCCTTCGTTTTATCGGAAAAGTAGAATTTTGTATGTATTTTTTCAAATAACATATAAAAATGGGTCGACCCGTCCCGCCTCGTACCCGCGCAGGTATTACTCGCCCCGACCCGCAGTAGCATGGGGGCGGGGCATGGGTATTGAGGTACCCGCCCTGACCCGTCACATTGCTATCACTAGGTTCGGTGCTCCGGGAGTGTCGTCACCATAGACTCTTTGTCAGTTTGCATAGAGTTTACGACGGTTCCTAGAACCGCCAACAATGCTACTCATAGAGTGGCGAGTAAAATACTACTATTGTCTCTCATAGAGTTAAGAGTCTTTAGATTTCATTGGATGACTTCACTTGGGTGTCGCTTGTACGGTCTGCGTAGTTTTGTTTGTATAACCAGTGGCAGACCTAGGTTAGCTCAAGGCTTGTCAATTGACAAACCTTGTTTCTATTTTTTGACAAAATTCTTTTGTAAAATTTTATTTTTGCGATGGTAGTATTTAAACTCAAGGCTATTTGACAATCCTTTGTGATTTATTTCATCGTTGAATACCCTTGATGTAATTCCTGGGTCCGTCACCGTGTATAAACTCTTGTCCTTTCTTGAAATCACTTGGAAATAAATAAATTGCTAGTTGAGATGACTCACTAGTCTTCACGTCGAGCCAACTCATGGCAAGCCATTATATCGAGCTGACTCACGAGACTTGGGAGTCGAACAAGGTTTAACTCTTACTAACAAGCCTGGTATCGAATGAGCTGCAACTTTAAATGGTGGCCTATGCTTTGGTCACTTATTTCTGTTATACTGTTATAGTAACTAGCTTATAACCCGACCCGTTGGTCGGAGGAGCTGAGTCGAATATTGAATTATTGGGATAACCCGTAGATTCAACCATTAAGCAAAATTAGCCTAATGGTGAGTACCGCCTAGCATATCCCTAATAACTTCATTATATAATTACATGAGATCCGAAAGAGAACACCATTAATTTGTTTTATAAAACTTTCATCTTGTCGTCATTGTGCTTTCTGGTTTTTGTCAGGCCATGATAAAATCTAAGGAAATCAAGAACGAACAACACGATTTTGGATAGGAGTCGCCGTTGTCGTATTCCTAGAAAAAGGTGGTAAACACGGACTCACCTGCCAAACTGGTTTGGATTGAGATTTTTATCGGGTATCAGGGAACCATGTGATTATAAATTAGACTTGATCAATACGGGTCAAAACTTAAAATTCAACATGTTTGACCGACTCATGCCAAATTCTAATTATTCGTTACTTTTAAACTTTCTATTTGAAAATAAAAAATAGTGAAAGAAAAGAGATGACTGCAATTCGCCATTTGCACATCACTTATTCGGGAATAAAACCATAGAAATTCAAAAGGAACTGAAAATGTTTAGGATCGTTTTAATGTTTAAAATAACCAAATAGATCTTTCTGTTTAGTTTTTTACTAACAAATACCAAACGATTCCCTATAAAATACACTATAATTTGATCATTATGATATCAAATAATTATATAATATATATTTGAAATGATAAAAATTGGACTAATTGGGTTGGTCGAGGTTCATTGAATAACTTTAAAATACATTATATTTTAGTCACTAAGATATAAAATAATAGCATAATATATATTATGCCAGAGAAAATAGCTTGTTTTAGAATGTCAAACCAATGATGTTCATTTGTTTTACTTTACGGCCAAATCCCGTGTAGGTCAGGCCCATTCAACTCTTTTATTTTATGGTTAGCGGTTAGCCCATTAGATACCATGCATTAGTTTATTGTTAAATTTTTTATTTTTAGCAATAAAAAGGAGTATTGTTTTTGCCTTTTCATATATATTTTATAACCACGGAGAAATAAAAGGGCTTAAAGGAAAAAAAATTGACACTCATGGACCCGTTTAAATCCACATGTGTATGGTAAGTTGGCCCGTTCCATAGAGGAAAGAGAGAAAAAATTGACACTCCCTATTCTACCCTTCCTACAAATGCTCCTGGAGCAGGGAATTTTAAATGGGGAAAGGGTTTTTTCCTCCCTGAGATCATATGTTTTTAATTTAAAAAGAGATAACAAATGTATTTAGTGTGATTGGTTATAATCATTGCTTTTCTTTAAAATGGTCATGGTTCGAATTCCAATACGTGTCTTTTTAATGAATAAAAAAAATAATTGTGAAGGGGCTCCCGTTTTTCCCTTCAGCGTATTATATTATGGGTAGATTGATATAAACCGGGCTGGTCCTGATTCATGTAATTTGTACCTGATTCATGTACTGATTTGTAATATACCCTCCTCGGGCCATGGAACAAAAAAGAAAGACCTTGGAGAAGGCTTTCCGATAAAACCCCCGCAGAAGAAAATAAGTCCTTGTCTTGGGTTTTTTCTCCTTCATTCCACTTCCCCTCTTATTTCTCCTCTCCCTCCCAAGTCCCAACAAACCAACCAAAACCCCGCCGTTCCCTTCTCCACAAGGTCAAACCCGCGATGACCAACTACGGCACAATCCCGACCTCCTCCGCCGCCACCGGCGGCGGCAGCTCCTCCTCGCCGTTCTCCAACCTCGCCTACATCTCCCGCGCCGCCAAGGACCGGATCCGAGACGGCCTCGGCACCCTCCGCCCCTGGAAATCCATGCTGGACTTCCGCAGCCTCGGCCTCCCGGGAACCCTAGCCGACGCAATCGGCCGATTGAAGACGAATTCGGCCTACTTCCGGATGAACTACGCCGTAATTGTCCTGGGGATCCTGTTCCTCAGCCTCCTCTGGCACCCGATCTCGCTCATCGTCTTCATCGCCGCCATGGCCGGCTGGCTGTTCCTCTACTTCCTCCGCGACGAGCCGCTGGTGGTGTTCGGGCGGCTGATCGGCGACCAGGCCGTGCTGATCGGGCTCTCGGTGCTCACGGTGGCTCTGCTGCTCCTCACCGATGTTCTGTGGAACACCGTGGGGTCGCTTCTGGTCGGGGCGGCGTTGGTCGTGGCTCACGGGGTGGTGAGGAAGACGGAGGATTTGTTCCTCGATGAGGAGGAGACCGCCGGGTTCCTGGCCGGCGGTGGCGGCGGTCGGTCTTCTTCTTGAAATTTGTGAGGGTTTTTTTTGAATCATAAGGAGTATGGGATCTGGCTTTGTCGTTTGGGATTTTTTTTTGGGTGTATTTTATTACATTGTATGTTGTTGGGTTATTGTTAATTATTATTTGGGCGATGATATCTATAATTGAATTAGTGGGTGGGGGAGGATTTCTTGTGAATTTGTCTGTCCATTTTGCAATTTTTTTTTTATCGTTTTCGCCTTGTGGGAACTAACTAGACGGCAAGTTTTCCACTTCAATTTTTGCTTTATGGTCCATTAATTTTCAGTTTTTCATTTTGATCGATACCGTTGACTCAAATGACAATCCAATTTATTGAAGGATATTTTGACTATTGATGAGACATGGAAACTAGAAGTGTAGATGACAATCCATTGGGGGTGATAAATGGTTATGTTGTTAACCGTTTAATCACTGACCACACCGTTAATAGCTAAGGAGAATGCGAGGTGTTTAACGGAAGCTCAAAATTCTTTATTGGGTTATCAAGTCACAAACGGTTAATAACCGACGGTTAGCGATTAACCGGCATGGGTGGTTAACCACTCAAAATATGTAAAATGTGACACTCAACAAACTTCCCATTTATTACTCTGCACTCACCAACTCCAATCTCCTTGTCTTCTTGCCCGAGCGAAAAACTGAGGACAGTCAAAGAGGATGTGTCGCGAACCACGAATCGCTAATTATCGTCGTGCTAAGGACCCTATTTAGTGACTTTTCCCTCAGATCGACAAGAGGATGACCAAGAGGAGAGAAACGACGATGGGCGACTTTGATGTTGCGGCCGCCTTCAATCCTCCTCTTTGTTTTACCTTGACGGAAAAGATAGGAGAAGAGGGGGCTAGGGTTCGACTATTCGAGAGTGAAGGGGAAAATGATTTGTGTTTTTTAGTGTTCGTTGGTTCACAAAGAGAGTGTATTTGTCTTTTTATCTATAGTGGGAAAAAGAGATAGGCGAGAAGACGAGAGTTATGAGAAGATGAGAGTGTGCGTCTAGGGTTTCTCATAACATCACTTTACTTTTATACATTCTCTAAAAAGATAATTATGCCCCTTGCCTTTTTCCAAATCCACAAACCGATCATGCTCTCTTTCAGGCGGGTAGGTGGTTAACCACTAAATGCATTGATGGTTAATGGTTAACCGCTAAGCCTTTGCGGGTTGGCTAACCGTAATGATTTTTTGGTTGGTCAGTAACCATTAACTGAATTTATTGATTAACCGCTAACCACTAACCGATCCGATTATCACCCCTACAATCCATATACTTTGTTTTGAAAATATTAAATTCAAATCCACCCAAAAGAATTAAAACACTACGGTTTGTTTATAATTGTGGTGGATCAGGTGGGCTATACTTTAAAAAAAAAAAAATCTCAGCCATCACTAAAAAGATTATATAATTAGTTAAAATTTGAAACAAATAAACCAAAGCGAAAAACATGAAAAAATGCATATAAATTATTGCTTGGATCTTGATGAATTGCAATTTGCGGCAAACAAATGTTACTAAAATTGGGAACACATGTCCTTCGGTTTGAAGGTGAGTAACTTGTGTCTATTGTATGATAAATTGTACATATGTATGGATCTAAATTTTTTGGATTCTATATATACTCTTACAAATGCAAATAACAAGTTCAACCCCTGGTTATACATTGACTAGCTTGAATTTCTTCGAACCCTCGATTATTATTGTAGCCAACACTACTCAATCAAAACCACACATGCTAATATTGATTCTTCAAATTCAATGAGATTGTCATTCATAAACCTTTTTCTTTTTTTAGAATCATTGGAATGAATTCTAAAACGAAGAATTTTACCCAAATTTCTCGTTCCAAGAAATCAGTCGCAACATAAGAAATTGTGACAAACAAGGAATTTTCCCCAAATCGAAGGGAGCAGGACATAGGAAGGAAGAAGAAAGAGTTGGTTTCGAAGATAGAAGAAGTAAAATGTAGGATTTAAAAATAGTTGGGAAATCAGCAATATGTCCAATGAAATGCATGTGTTTTTCATAAATATACAAAATACATCAATGCTTCCCAAAATGCAGCGGTTTCTTTATCTTTCTTTCCCCCCATCTCAGTGTCGTACTGAGTTATTTATATTTACCTCATTTTTTATAGATTCAATTTCCAATAAGATGAGGTATCTTCCAATAGCTGATAGGCTGTCAATGGCTTGGCATTGGGTCACAAAAGTATGGAGAGAAAGCATACAACCAAACGAAACCAAACCAAACCAAATAAAAAATGGTCTGCCACTCCCCACAAACAAACCTCACAGTTACTAATCTTGGCAAACATGACTGACCTGCCTCACCACCTAATATATGTGTCTACTAGTTAGTTGGCCGCCTCTGCTGATCATATGGCATATATGGGTCCTCCCCAAACTTGATCCTGCCTGGAAGTGAGCAACGATTTGATTCATATCGAACTATATGGACGGTTAATTCAAATAAGACCAAACTAGAATAAGAATTCGAGCGGTCTTCAGCTCAAGAAATCTGTTTTCGTCTGGTAAATACTTCGAAAACAAAGAAATAAACTGATTGAAGCGAAGCCAGATGAAACGAAAGTTAATAAACCGCAAGTTTCATCCGAGTCAATCCTGCAAACTTCCCTTTCTTTCTGTGATCCGACATTAATACTGATCTGGTCTGAATGTAGATCAAACCAGACCAGTGCACATCCACACTTTGCTGCAACATATAGTATATTGTCCATCTTATTCTTGTGTATCTCTAACTAAGCTCTCACTTGTACTCATTATTGTACCTTTTGGCTCTGATGATCATTGATCAGAAAAGATGATGCAAGGAAAAAGGGTATCTTTTGCAGTTTGATGGAGGGAATAGATCTAAGACCATCATATGTCCTCATTTGCCTTCAATCTATACCCATAATTGCACTTTCCACTGGTCCAAGTTGGTGTCCTTTTCCATTTGGGGCTGTCCCCATTTCATTCCATTATTGCTTTCTCTTTCAATCTCTCATCTCCCTGAAAACCAACCCCTGTCAATCATTCAAATAACAAAGAACTATATGATAACATGTTTATTATTTATCTCCATTCCCCTTTTCTTCTGAGGTAGGACATGACAATAACGATGGTACTCAAACCCAGAAAGGAAAAAAGGAGAAAACAACATGGTTGTTCACATGGTAGATACATCATTATCAATCAGTTGATAGCACAACTAAGCAATTATCAACACTTTTACAATGCATTCATTCAACTTTATTCAAGGTATCTGAGTTTCCTTCAAGATGTCGAGTTTGATTGTCCTTATTACACTCGGACTGAACAAAAGGAATCATTCAATTGAAACCATATATACCAAAATGATCTTTAGCGAAATTAAATTGCCATGTTCTCGTTCTTATGAGTTGGTTCCTAAGTGTACCGATCCACAAAAAACTGTTGTGTATCTAGGTGTAGAAGTAATACCCTGTCCTGCTGCAAGAGTTACTGATCTGGAATCTTGAAGAAAGTGTAGGACAAGATAATGCTGTTGATCCCCTCCATCTTAGGGTCCGTCTCAAACTCGGGGTCTATGTAAAAAAAGACCTGCAAAAAGGGTTATCAAGCTTGATCATTCACTCACAAAAGGGGTGAGTCGAGTACTATCCTAGAATGGGAAAAGAGAAGGGTAAGATGAAGTTTGCTCACAGGCATGTCAACTTGTTCTCCGGGAAGTAGACGTTGTTCCTCGAAGCAAAAGCATTGTATCTTGTTGAAGTATACTGCAGCCTGGAATGAAATTACAAGCAACATTGAGAATCAATGTAATTGATCATAGCGTTTTTAAGGACCAATTTTCTGATTTCTGCATATAGACTTTATGGATTGTTGCACATCGGATAAGGTAACCTAGCACTTAAGCCTTCCAGAGTAAGATATAAAATAAATAAAAATCCAAGGATGGAACACTATAATAGACAGGGCTCCCTAGATTTAGAGTTAACCAGACGACGCAGCACAAAGAAAGTTAACCTAACCTCTCATAACTCTAAAAGGTATTTTCCCACACTGTTAAGTTCAACGATGAAGCCAACAACCTTTTTAGAATGGCATCTGGCACAAGCATTAAAGAACAAGTTCGTCCAAGACTCACTGAAGAGAACTTCCAACAAAATGACCACAAACATTAAAAGTGGAAGTCAAAACCCCTGATTTAAGAGTCGCAAAAAACAGTACCTTCATGGGAGTAACATTATAGGTAGACACACCAGTTATTGGAGCTGAACTTCGATTCTCGGCTGTATAAAAAGCAAGGGCGCTTTCTCCTGGCTTTACTCTCACCTATATAGCATCAGAAAATAAGGAGAGAAAAAAAATAAGTGACATCCATCACAGAGCTTCACACTGATTCAATAAGGAAACACATGCATGTGAAAATAGAACCTCTCTTTGCGTGGGGATGAACTTCCAGGGCATTCCATCAGCTACATCAGCATTAAACTGCACCACAATCTCTCTGTGAACACACAGAACAAAGTCAAATCACTACAGATATGATTAAAGCTGACATTAAGCTAATCATATGATCTACTTCATTACATTAATGATGCTAAGATACCGTACCTTGTTGCGACAGTTCCATCTTTAGCATGCCGTGAAATTTTCTCTTCAACAGTCTACAAAAACCACCAGAAAGCAATTGAACTGCAATCATCATTTGATTAACAAAATGAACATCATCATAAATCACAGACAAACAACAATCAAATAGGCTGGGAAGGAAGGACCTCTCGGCGCTGTACAGTTCCTCCATAACCAGTAGCCTGGCAGAACGTCCTGTAAAGAGGAACAGCAGCGTATGTACACCCTACCATTACCACAACCAATCCCGTGAGATACATTAACGTCTTCCTTGACTTCTGCTCGGTAGCAGAAGAAGGTCCACCCGCTGCAGTTGTAGCAAAGTACCGCGTAATGCTGCAACTACCATTACTACTAATTTGGTATCTGGGATTCTGGACAGGCCCGTCGAGGCACCAAAATCTCTGTAACCCAGAACGATTTCCATGGCTGCTTACTCTGATGGAGCTGTAAATCGTAGAAAACAAAGACGATTAGGGCATAAGAAAATGAAACTTCTATGTTACTAGCTTGATTCATACAAAGTTTACACTCTGAGCTTCACCTGGACTGAATATGGAACGCATTTGTTTGATTGAGCGACTTCAGGTAAGGCGTAATGAGACAGTGACGAAAGCTTCTAGCCCTAGAGAGGCTTGACCATGACATTGCCTATCCTCCTGAACCCAAAATCAATCGTGGAGAAAAGTTTCAAACTTTTTCCACTTCCAGAGCTCGAAATAGACGATTCACAGTGATAATCACAGAGACGCATTACCTTAGTTAAAGAATTCGAAGCTCGAACCTCCGGTGCATGAAAAAGGATCGAAAACAGCTGCGTCTTCTTCTCCGATTCCGAACTTCGCAAACGAACGACTGCTCTGTGTTGTTTCTTGTAATGTTTAGGTTTCTGTTTCTGTAAGTTCGGGTTGTGCCTGACCCGACAAGAAAATGGGCTTTTGGTGTCCAATTGGGCTCCTCTTATTTACCTGATAATGAACTTGGCCACGTCTACTCTCCTTCCGGGCGCCGACGTGACCAACGCCGATAGTCGACGGTTCATCTCGAAGTTCTGTCATCCGTCTCAATTTCAGTTGAGATTCTGATCAATGGCAGCTTATGGCTGTTCCCAGCCTGTCTACGATCCTTACAGCCCCTTACAGCAATCGCTGCCGTTACCCATGGCGGCTTTCGATCGGAACGGGATCAATACGCTATTCGTCTCCGGCTTGCCGGAGGATGTTAAAGCTCGCGAGATTCACAATCTCTTCCGCCGCCGCCCAGGCTTCGACTTTTGCCAGCTCAAGTACACCGGCCGCGGCAATCAGGTGAGCCCGCTCCACCGTCGACCGGGGCTCACTTCCGTTTCAGTAGAATCATTTGAAAGATCGAAACTTGGAACCAGGGCGTATCTTATTACTTACTTTTCTTTTCAACAGGTAGTTGCATTTGCTACCTTCTTCAACCATCAGGCAGCAATGGCTGCAATGCACACTCTCTGAATGTAAGAACTGAGAATCTATGGATTCCTTAGGCAATTGCATTTTTTGATTTTTTGAATCATTAACTAGTGCTAGTTGGTTGAATGCTTAATGCTTATCCTAGGGAGTGAAATTTGACCCACAAACGGGATCCACATTGCATATTGAACTGGCTAGATCAAACTCGAGAAGAAAACATAAACCAGGTAACCTCCTATGCGTAGATGTAGGCTTATATGGTAATGAGTTGTTTTCGTCCAATCAGTTGAGTTAAGAAAGTCAGATTGTCTCTATTGATTGCAGGCAATGGAGTGTATGTTGTTATTGATGAACGAACGAAACAAGGGAACGCCCAGGAAAATTCTAGTGATGATGGTAAAGTAAATATTGTTCTCTTCTAAGGTCCATGTTTGAAAATGGATGTATGGCTTTATCTGCCTTTTTGTACAATTAGGTGACAGTAGTGATTCGGATGAAGCTCGAGAACGTGGAAATGTGGATTATGTTGAGGAGGCAGCCGGTGATCCTGAGAGTACTGCAAATGTAAGTGACATTAACTACTTCCATCCTAAGCTATACAGGTTGTTTCACCAAGATTTCGAGTGGATGTATTTGCCTCAAGTAGAATACGAACAGGGATAGCTAGAACTGCAGTATTGAGTTCTTGAATACGGGTTTCTTTGTGGCTTCAAAACGAACGCATGTTGTTGTCGCCGGAGGATCAACCAGAGAAGAGAACCCGAGATGGTGCTACTCCTTGTTCCACTTTGTTCATAGCAAATCTAGGTCCCAACTGCACCAAAGAAGAACTGGATCAGGCTCTCGTGCAGTAAGCCTGTTTCTTAAATCATTTGTAAATCAGATTGTGTCCGCTCTTAAATGGCTTTGTTCTGATAACTTAGAAGATTTCTCTGGTTGTCAGATATCCAGGCTTCAATGTACTGAAGATGCGAGATCAAGGTGGGATGCCAGTTGCTTTTGCTGATTTTGAGATAACTATGCGAAGAGCATCACTGATACGAAAGTTTTTCTCAGACACTTACATCTGTGGTTAATTACACCGTCTCCTCTTCCGTATGTGCCCAGGAAATCGAACAAGCTACTAATGTTATGGAAGACCTTCAAGGAGCCACGTTACCATCTTCAGACCGGGGTGGCATGCACATAGAGTATGTCTTCCCTGACTTCTTGAAAAGTCTTTTATCTTTCTTGCTGTTTGTGCATTGCTTCACTAGCAGAGATTTAGGGACGAATGCGAAGTTGTAAACTTGTCCCTTTATTGCATTGTTCAGGTATGCCCGATCGAAAATGAGGAGTCATTAGCAGAGGAACTAAAGAAAGGATCGAGGACAACATCTCAATGGTCGTCATGTTTTGATTGTATGTATACCTTTGAGTGCTCAAGGTTTCCTCTGTAGCAGCAAGCAAGTGCTGAATGTTAATGCGAAGACACATGAGTAACGAGTTAGATGCATTTTCTTTGGCTATTTAGCTGGGAGCGCATCTATGAGATGAAGGTTTTGCCTTTCAAAGCTTACATAGTTACTTCTCTGGGGTACTAGTATGGTTGGCAACGGGGCGGATCGGGGGCGGTTACCCCGTATCCAAGCCCCGCCCGTCAGTTGTCCTGGTCGGATTATAATCCGCCAAGCAGCAGCAGTCGGGGAGGCAAAGTTTGGCAAACCCTGGCACCCTGCCATCACTAGGGATGGCAACAAAACCCGAACCCATGGGTACCCATCCGACCCAACCCGGTCAACGCTAGGGATGTCAATCCAACCCGTAACCATGGGTACCCTACCCGACCGTAACCGGTCAACGAGGGTAATTACCCGCTTTGACGGGTTAAGGGGCGGGTATGGGTAATACCCGGTTTCAAAATAAAGGGTAGGGTACGGGTATGGTAATCGATAATACCCGCCCCGTTATACCCGCCCTCTAACCGAAGGGTTAATTTCTCTTGAGAAATTTAGTTTAGCTTGAGAATTTAGTTTAGCTACCATTATTGATGATGAAGATGTAGACGATTATTATGTTTATGTGGATTGTAGAAGCAAGAACAATTATTATGTTTTTGTTGTTTTTATTTGTGTGGATTGTTGAAACTAGAACAATTAGAAGTATTGAGAATTTTTAATGGACAACAATATGTATGTGCATATATGTGTATAAGTTCATAGTTTAGAATTCGTACCCATGGTTACCCGAATACCCGTGGTTACCCGGTGGGTAGGGTATGGTTATATAATTTTCATACCCGGTGGTTATTTGATCGGGTATTTTAGAAGGCTCTACCCGACGGGTTAGGAGTTGGTATAGGGTAAACCCGCACCCGATCCTACCCATTGCCATCCCTAGTCAACGCAGGTAAAATCCGTGTTGACGGGTTTTGGGCCGGGTTTGGGTTTAAACCCGTTCACTATTCACCGGGTTAGGTTGGGTTTGGGTTTAGGTAAACCCGGCCCGTGGGTACCCGCCCACTCATATAATTAATTTTTTCGGTATATTTAATATTCTAAACAACTAATCTTATTATATTTGTGGAGACATGTCTACTTTTTTCTTTTTAATTGTGTAGAATTAAGTTGATGTTATGGAGTGGAGAGTAAAGAAACTTAATTGAAAGGAAGAAGTTTTCAATTAAACATGTTATTTATGGATAATTTGTGATTTGCTTCAATTTTCTTAAGTTTTCTAGATTGGTGTTGAACAATTTGTATAGTTAATTTGTGATTTGCTTGAATTTTCTAATTTGGTGTTTTATATATGGATAATTTGTATTGAGAGATTGATATTTGACTTTAATTTTGATAAGAACTTGTAATTGTAAATTTTTTACGACAAAACCCGTGGGTACCCATGAACCCGTGGATACCCAACGGGTTGGGTTGGGTTTGAGTTTTTCAAACCCAGTGGGTTTTACCCCGGGTTTCTTTCAAAGATAAACTCATGGGTTTGGGTTTGGCAAAACCTGACCCATTGCCATCCCTAGCCATCACCCGCCCGTCCCCGGGTAACGGGTTTACCCGCAACCCACAAAATACCCGTTGCTTTAATGCTTAACCTAGGCCCAGCAGTGTTCTTCAAGCCCAAATTCAATTGAGTTTGCTTTTTAAGTTTTATATCCTACTGGTACTGCTTGTAGATTTCTTAATGAGCTTGCTTTTAATCATATATAAAACCAAGTATCCTTCCTGAGAGTCAGAGAAGTTGCAGCAACTTGACATTCAACAAGGACAATGATAATCAAATCCAAACTAATTAAATAACATCAATCCCTGTCTGCAGACTAAGCTGCTAACGAGCAACAACTCAAAAGCATAACAATCAAATTCCAATCCAAACTAATATCCAATCCCTAGGTCCAACTAAGCTACTAAACTGCAACAACTCAAATGCATAAAGAAACGACAGCAGCAACATTCTTCACCAGCAACAGCAAGCTAGCTCCAATCTTCAGCAACAACACCAAGCCAACACCTTCAGCAGCAAAAAATGACATAGAGCAACACTCTGCAACCTTCCTCTCAACTTGGAAGCAAAAAAAAAAAAAAACACCCAGCAACATATTGAATCCGACAGCAGCAGAAGAATGAAATCCACACACCACGGCAGCACACAGACAAAACCGGACCTGCAAAGAACCATTCTTCTTAACAAAATGCATTCTTCTCACAATTATTTAAGAAAATGAATTCACAGCAGCAATGAAGTATTATAAATTCAACAGCAACAGAAAGCCATTTTTCGCAACAACCCACCACTAACACAGCAACATCATGCGTCTAGAAGTTAGTCCACATCATCTAGGTTGTATGTCCTGTTCCTTGGAGCATTGTCTTCATTATAAATGCACAAGTGATACAATTCTTAGTAACACTAAACTCTGATCACTACTAAGCTAATAAAAGAAAATGAAGGAAGTGTAATTGTAGAAACCTTCTAGAATTGCACATTCAGTTAGTGCCTCTGCTTGAACCATGCACGTTTCACTTAATGAGAAGCAACCCTCTAAATTCCCTACACCATCATCACTGCTCCCCTCTGCTTGGAAAAAAACAGCATGTAATAAAAAATTAAATCATTTGCAGTAAGTTAAGATAAAGAACCTTGAACGTACTACAATTAAAATGAAGATAGAAATTACCATTATCTTGCAGCCAAGTCCTCGTGCACATTAGAGCTTCAACAGCAGACTGATGGAGCCTGCTCCTATGTGGATCTAATAATCTGCCTCCAGAGTTAAAGGCAGATTCTGATGCAACAGAAGTGATAGGAACAGCAAGAATGTCTCTTGCAATCTCTTGCAAGATGGGGTATTTAGGACCATTGATCTTCCACCACATAAGTATATCAAAATCAGATGTACGAGGCAGAATTTCCTCATTCAAATAGGCATCCAACTCAGCTATAACAGATGAAGTCCTCGACTTCTTCCTTTGACTAACAACCAAGTCAAAATCCAGATCTGTAGTACTAGACATTGCAGGCAGATCATTCCCATTGGCAGCAGGAATTTTACCATTCACCCTTGATCGGTATTCAACCACCAAATCTCCCAATATGCCTTTTATTTCTGAAGCACTCAATGATGAACTACCATCTAGACCCAATTTTTCAGCATAATACTCGACAATGTCAAGTTTATACCGGGGGTCTAACACAACAGCAACTGCCAAAATCTGTTGGATCACCTCCCAATATTTGTTGAACTTTGCCCACATTAATTCAGCCATACGTTGAATCTTTTCATTGGGATCAAACATCCATTCACATATTTTAATCCTCGAATCACAAATACGAGGAAAAAACAAGTTTGATGTTGGATATTTTGACCCCGAAAATAGATAAAAAAAAACCAGGGTAAAACAATGGAGCTTCTCGCAAACAATCGAAGCAAACAACCAATCATCATTGGAAGGCAAGCAATCATACTGAGGGTCACGTTGTTTAAGCCTATTAAACACGTCTTTGTAAGGAATAGCAATGGCCAGCATTAGAAATGTGGAATTCCATCTTGTAGGGCAGTCTAAAACCAATCTTTTCTCACATGGAACATGCAATTGTTTACTAGTCTCTTGGAAAAACTCAAGTCTTTTGGGTGTAGCCAACTAATAAGACACACTATCTCTGATCCTTTCAATACCATCCTTCACCACATCTAATCCATCCTTGACTATCAAATTCAATATATGAGCTGAACATCGCATATGCAGAAGTGCACCATCCCTCAACAGATATGATAGAACCAGTTTTTTCTTAATTTTGGCAATCATTGCATCATTAGTACTACAATTATCCAATGTGATAGTGGATACCTTTGAGTCGATATTCCAATCGAGCATGCAATTGACCAAGACAGATGCAAGTCTATCACTAGAATGAGGAGCAGGAACATAGATGAACCTGTCCAAAAAATAAACAAACAAACAAAAGAACACAAGATTAGAATTATATTAGTTGCAAAAAGCTAAGTATCTAAGCATTAACTTACAATGAACTATTTTACCTGAGCATATGTGACACGCTAAAACACAACACCTAACAATGGCCAAGTGTAACCAATGAAAGGGACTGCAGTATAGGCAAGTTTAATTATCAACCCGGGGTCTAGATCTACTGCTTACTCCGTGATTCTCTATTATCTAGCAAACAAAGTCGAGTGATTGTTGTGAAAAGTAAAAGCAACAAGAAAGCAGTAAATTGTTCGGGTTTCTAAAGCAGGCAAGAGTCACTCGGGATTGAGTCCCCCTAGCCCCTTTAGTTAGGTTCAATTGCAATTCCCTGGGTTGATTTACTGTTGATTAGACTACGGAAGATCCGACAGTAGCTTGGAATCTCTTAAGCTGACCAAGCCCTCTCAGTCTAACTACCCGGCAGACGACTAGTCTTCACCGGGATAGAAAGCTGAGGCTATGAACACAGAACTCCACTACTGGCGCCAAGAACACCAGTACAAAGCAGTAAACTGGCTAACTCTCGTATAGCCAATCTCCTACTATCGAATGAAGAGGCTCTAACAACCTAATCAGATTCTATCTATCTCAGGTTGCAGCAGAAATTGAGAAAAGCTGATCAGACTCAAATCAATTCATGAAACATGCGTCATTCGATTAAAATCAAACAGTAATATCATCCCAAGTCATTACAATCAAATCCCTAACACAAGGAACTAGGGTTCTTCATACCCAAGTGAGAGAAGGGTTCTACTCCATAGAGAGAGAAGAGAAAACAAGAATCGGATTAGTCATACTCATAACGATGAGGATAATCTGCTCCGGGACGATGATTTTCACTCCTATGACGATCTCCAAGCTCGATTCGATGAAATCCCGCTCTAAGACAGCTTCTAGGATGTGTTCTTCGCACTTTCTCTCTCTAGGGCTCTGTTTTTGCTCTGAAAACACGATTCTCCCACTTCTGGCTCGGATTAGGCTTTAAAACCGGGTTTCCCCGAGTTGCACGGCCAGGGTGCACGGCCGTGCACATCACCATTCTGGCCGTGCACCTCAAAACGCGGCGTACCATTAAGTCGAACCTCAACCAACTCGCACG